GGCGCGCGCGCCGGCCGGCTGCGTTTTTGCGGCCGGCGCGCGGCGGGCGAGACGGTTGCCGTGGCCCCATTGTGCCGCGCCGCTATCGCCCCCCCCCCCCCGCTCCGGAGGCCCGAGGCCCGCGATCCCGCAGCCCCTCCCCCCGTGTCCCCGCCCCCCGGCCGGCCTCCGCCAGTGTCGTCGCGCGCCTGTCACGCCGCGCCGCAGCCCTGACCGGCGCCGCAGCTGGCGTGACGCCGACCGGGGCGTGACGCGCGCGCGTGACGTGTGAGGTCCGGCTGCTGCCGGCGCCCCCCCCCCCCCCCGGCGCGGCCAGGCGGCGGCGGCAGCCGTGCGGGCTCACAATAACAGGGCGTGCGGGAGCCGGGCGGCGACAGGCCGGCCGGCGGCGAGTGCGCAGTCAGCGGCGGTGAGGGCGGCGGAGGCCGGCCAGCCGCCGCCGCCGCCGCCGCCGCCCTGTTTGTTTGGCCGCCGCGGCCGAGGGTCAGTCGTGATGGATGTGCCTGTGGCGCGGTGGCGCCGAGACCGGCCAGCGCCGACGGAAGAGGTGCAGTCCAGGCTGGCTGCGGTGTTTTTATCATATTCATATATACACTATATATATATATATATATATATATATATATATATATATATATATATATGTATGTATATGTATTTTAGTGTGTAGAAGTACGGCGCACAGGTGGAGCTTCATATATATATATATATATATATATATATATATATATATATATACATGTATAGGTCTAGATATAAATGTATGCGTATAGCTCATCAGCAGCTGTCGCTAAGGGACCCATCTGTCTTCTGTCGTCCAGGACCATCCTGCATCCCTGTGTCTGTATGTCGCTGCGTGCGCTGCTCGCCCTGCGTGCGTGCTCGCTCTCTCCGGCGCTCCGCAGCGCTCTCGCCAGCGCGCCGTCGGCCGGGCCGGGCCGCCCCCTGCTGTTTGCGATCGTTGCGGCCGGCCGGCGCCGCGCTCGTCCGCCGCTCCGGGCCATACATCAGCGCGGCGTGCCCGGTGTCCTCCGACCGGCGGGCGCGCGCCCTGACCGCCGCACCGGCATTGATTCAAAGGCCGGGCCGCCCGCCAGCCCCCCCCCCCCCCCCCCCCCCAGTCGCCGGCGCGCGGTCACGTCGTCCGCCGATGGCAGCTTAGCGGCGGCGGACGCCGCAGCCCCTCCCCCCTCCCCCCGCCGCCGCCGGTCGGGCGAGCCGCGGCGAGCGGGCGGCGCGCGGCGGTGCGTCATTGTGCCGGCGCGGTGGCGTTTACGGCGCATTTGAGCGGAGCGCCGTCCGGGGCCGCGCCGTCGCCGCCGGCCGGGCGTCGTTATCGCGCCGCCGGCCGGCCGGGATTTATGCCCGCCCCTGAGCGTGACGCGTCCGGTTCCGGGCGGCGCGGCGCAGGCCATCGTCGCAGCCCATCGTCAGCTGGCGCCGATAACGCGCGGCTTCCGCGGCGACGGCGCCGGACCGCCGGACCGCCGGACCGCGGTCCACGGCGCTGCGAGACGGCGTTGAGGTCCGGCGTGCGGCGGCGCACGCTACGCGACGGGATCCAGGGGCGGCGGGCGTTGCAGTCGTGAGCTCCGCTCGAGCGGCATTGTTGTCGCGATAGCGTCCGGTCGTTTATCGCCGGCCGATCTGAGGAGCGCGCCCGGTGTTTACCGAGCGCGCCGGCCGCAGCCAGGCCGCTATCGCAGCGGCGGCCGCCCTCTTTATGCCGCGTTCGCAATCTTGAGCCCGCTATCTGCGCGCCGCAGCCGGTCTGCCTTCAGAGGCGGCGCCAGCCGGCCGACAGGGTGCCGCCCACACGCAGCGCGTCAGGCCTGCTGCCATCCCGGGGGCCCGCTGGCGCGCCCGGCAGCCGGGCGGGCGGCCTCCGGCGTGGCGGCGAGAGGAGCTCGGAGGCGCGTCAGGGCCAATCTCGCGCGCTCCCGCCTCTGCCGGCGGCCCACGTCGGCGCGGCCTCTGTGGGGGCCCGGCCACCGACAGGTGAGGCCGCCGCCGCCGCCGCCGCCGCCGCCCGGCCGGCCGGGCCCAATTACCGTAATCCGTGTGGACGCGCGGACACCGGCGTGACGGCGGCGGCGGCGGCGGCCAGTCGGCTCGCCTTGGACTGGATCTGGCCGACGACCGTCCACTAATTGCCACCCGTCAAGGCTATCGAGCGCCATTAGGGTGGGCGCGCACGCAGCGGCGACGTGCCGGGACGGCGCTGGCCGCCGCCGCCGCCGGCGCCGCCCGTCCGCCGCCGGGGGACGGGGGCGGGGCGGCGGCGGCCGGCGCGAGCGGCCCGGCCGCCGCCGAGCGCCGGGCACGCGATCAGCGGCCGGCGCGCCGCCGGCCGCTCGCTCCCCTAGCGCCGGCCATTCGTTTCGCAACTTGGTAAGTGAGCCGGGGGCCAAGCGGGCTGCTTAGTGCCGTGCCAGCGCGGCGGGAAGTTGTGGGAGTCGTCGGCTGGCCCGACGGCCCGGCGACAGCACGACGGCGGCGGCGGCGGCGGACTCGGCCGACCTTTGAAGTTGGCCGGCTCGGCCGCAGTCGGGATGATATCGCAGTCCCGGCGGGGTGCCACTGGTGACCGGACCGCCGGCTGCAGGCCCGCTCCGGCCAGCTCTGCAGTTGCGCCGCTTGTGCGACGGCGCCGGAGCCGGCGCTCGTCGCACGCCCGGGCTCAGTCCGCCGGCCAGCGCGGGTTTTTGTCGCGCGCGCTGCACCGCAGGCTGAACGGGTCGAGTCGAATGAGTCCGGTTCGACTCGAATCGGACCTCGGCTTGGAGGCGCGTCGGCGCTGGTGGTGGAGAGCTGCAGGCTGCCTGCACCGACCTGAGTCCGCAGCCATTCAGTCGCTCCGTCGGTCAGGGAATGCAGACTGCGCCCAACAAAGCCCGGCGGTGCAGCGGCCGGGCCAGAGCCAGCCCCTCCCTCTGCCGTCCGTCGCCACCCGGCCAGCCTGGCGCGCCGGGCCGCGCCTCTCGGGCACCGCGCTGGCTTCTGTCGAGCCGGGCCGGGCGGCGAGCGCCGCGCCAGCCGGCCGGGCGCGTGCCGGCGGATCGAGCGCCGGGCCCGCTCGACTGAGCGGGCCCGGCGCGCCGCTCCGCTCGGCCGGCGACGGCGGTCGCCGCTCGGCGGCTCGGCGGGAATTCGCCGCCCGCCGGCGCCCGCCGAGACGCCGCGGCCGCATGAATGAAACATTTAACGACCCGGCGGCGGCGCCGCCGCTCGGGCGCGGGCGGCCTTTGTGACCGGGAGCGGCGCGGCGGTGCGGTGCAGCCGAGCGCGCGGCCGCCGGCCGGCTGCAGCCGGAGCCGCGCACGCTCCCCGCCCCGTGCCGTCCCGGCGGCCGTCCCGTCCCCACCGCCGCGGCCCGGAGGTGGTCGGCCGCCGTCCCGGGCCGGTCCGTCGGCGGCAGGCCGGCTGGCGAGGACGGGGGGGGGGGGGGGGCGCCTGCCGCGCGCGATAGCGATCGAGCCGGGCGCATTAGGGCGCCGGCGACCCGGCAGCCGGATTAATGCCCTGGCCGGCCGCCTGTTTGCCGGCCGTGTTGATTTTTGCGCCGCCGCCGCCGGCCCCCCGGGAGCGGCGGGCCGGCGGCGGCCGCCGCCGCGCGCGCCGCCAATTGCCACTCGGCAAATGGAATTAGCCGTGGGCGGCGCGGCGCGGCGGCGGCCTGCGCCTCGCTCGTTCATCTCGGGCGCGGTGGAGGAATCAATGCCGGCCGGCTGTCGGGCGTGACGACAAAGGCTCGCCGGCAGGTCCGGCGGCGGCCGGGCGCGCGCCGCCGCCGTAAACCGGCCCATAATGGCCCGGTGCCATCCCGGCGCCGGGCCGGCCGTAAAGGCAGCGCGCTTACTCGTAAAGCGGCGACGGCGGGCGACGGCGAGCGACGGTCGGCCGACGGCCGACGAGCGCCGGGCTCGGGTCGGACGGCGCGGCACGCCCACCAGCCGGGGACGCTCGGAGTGATGCACGGGGGACTGCCGGTGGCGGCGCCGAGCCTTCGGAAAGCCGCCGCCGTCCTCCCTTGGTGTGAACAGCCGGCGCGCTTATCTCACGCCGCCCTCACGATTTTATTTAGCGTCATTAGCGCGCGGCGGCCGTTAATCCGCCGCCGCGCCGCTCTGCCCGAAGCCGGGGGCCGGCCGGCGCCCCTCCGCCGACGCTCTCTCCGAGCGTGCCGTGCCGGCGCGGCTGGCGCCCGGCCGGGCCGCCTCATCAGCAGTCGGCGGCCGGCGCGGCGCGTGTTTGGGAGCGCCGCCGCCGCCGCCGTGGGGCGCCGCTCGCCGGCTGTTTTTGCCGCCGCCGCCGCGGCGGCGGGCGGCGCGCGGTCGATCTGTTTGGCGGCCCGGCCGGCCGGTGTCGGGCCGGCGCGGCGCCACCGCCAAATGACGCCGACCGCCGGATGTGGGGGCGCGCCCGCCGCCGCCGCCGCCGGCCGGCCGGCCGTCGGGGCCGGACAGAGTGGCCTCCGCCGGCGGCCCCGGCGGACGCGGGCGGCGGCGCGTGCAGCGGCCGGTCGCCTGGCGCCACTGCGGGGCGGACGCCGCTCATGGCAGCACGCTCGACCCCGGCGCGGACACGGTGCGGGCTGCTGCAGCGCTCCGCGCTTAATTCGGGTGCAGGGTGATTTGTGGGGCGGTGCGGTGTGTCGTGAGCGACTCTACTGCATGTGTCCTTTAGTGCGTGGATGTGGTGCTGCGAGGTGGACGCTGTCCGGCCGAGGTCAGGAGTAGAAAGCTGACGAGCGCAAGAAAATTTGCAAAGCGAGTTTTTGACGCTGACGAGTTTGTGGCGTCAGATAAAAACGCAACCAAAAGCGATTGGTTAAAGTCCACCGCAACGAAAACGTAGGGTATTGTTTCTTGAGCTAAAACTGTACTGCGTGAAACTGTGCTGCGTGCAACTGTGCTGCCGTTTCCCCACCAGCGCGTCTCCAGAGTCTCCCCCTCGCACCGCGCCGTCGCACGTCGCCTGACCTGGCCGCTCCGTCGCAGGTCTCTCGTCGCCGGTGAAGCCGCCGTCGCACCTGCTGCCGTCGCACAAGGTCTCGCGCAATACGGCGACGGTGCCGCCGCTACTGCAGACGTCGACGCCGACGCCGACGTCGGCGCACCAGGCCAGCTCGGCCGCCTCGCAGACCTCCAGTTTCGCCGCCGCGCTCAAGTCGCTGGCACGGAACGCCGGCGGCACAGGTGCGGTGGCGTCACGCAGCTGCCGGGCGGCGCCGGCCACGCGGGGGACGTGTGGAAACGGACGCTTGCGTCACCGGCGGCGCGCGAGCGGGTCGCGAGCTGGGCGGATGCGGGCACCGTGGAGGGGCTTGTGTGACAAAACTCCCAGGGGCATGCGCTTCGCTGGGTGGTGGTGGTCGTCGCCGATGCCCCGATGCGAAGTGTACTACAGTCCAAATTGCTACCGGAGAGCGCGAGCGAAGTTAGCATATTTTCGCATGCCTTGTGGACATGGTTCGCATGCCTTGTGGGCAAGATATATGATACAAAAGCGTCGCAAATAGTTAACGTTTTCGTCTTCGAGTGGTGGTCTGTCTTCTGTCGGAGAATCGAGTGACACCGCTCCGTTCCTGAGCCTCCGTTCGGTCACGCCTGCGGGCTCGGGCTGCTGGCCACCTCTCGTAAGCAGAGCGTCGACCTCACCCCAATATCGGACCTGTCAGTGTCTGCGATAACCTCACGCCACCGCAGCGAGTGCCAGCTCGCGCTGCCCTGCCGCGGCTGACGTGCGTCGCCCGTCCGCAGACGCCAAGGAGGCGACGACCAAGTCCCGTGACGCGCCAGTCATGAGTCCCAAACGCGTGCCGCTGCACGTGCCGCGTGCACCGCACACGGACAACCCGCCGCCGGTGGTGGCCATCGCGCCCACACCCACCCACCAGCGCCGGGTGAGAGGCGTGCTCGGCTACGCCGGCCGGTCTGCTCTCTGGCCGGCGGCTGACTTGGCTCACGCGTGGCGGGGCCGGCAAAGAACGGGTCACGCTGGAACGGGGCGGCGGCGGCGCGATGGCGCTGGTGCTCCGTTTGTGAACCCGGGGTTTTCAGTGCACTGGTGAGAGCTGACAAAAGTGTAACGTGAGAGTGCCTATCACCTTGAGCGAATGACTGACCGATAAAAAACTAATGTCTCGTTCATTGGGTGACGATCGCTATACGCATGTTCGCGAATAAGGCTGTGGTTGACCAAATGCCGTAAGCGTTCTCAAAGCAACGACTTCCCCTAGCGTGTGCCTGGGTGATTGGCACACCTGTCAAATTTTTGGCGTTTGTCTGCCCTCCCTGACGGCGGCCTCCCGGCGCAGGAGTCGGCGGCCGTGACCAGCGCCTCCGACATCACCAAGCTGTCGCCGGAGGTGACCTCGCAGCTGTCGGCCGCCGCCGGCGCCGACGCCCTCTCGCGGGCCGGCTTCCAGCCGTACCGGCCCGACGAGCGGCTGCTGGAGTCGCTCTACCCGGGCTACGCGCCGTCCAGCCTGTACCCGGGCCTGCCGCGCACCGGCTACCCACCCCGCCGGCCGGAGGAGCGCTACCTCGAGTCGCTCTACCCGCTGCAGCCCGTCCAGCACCCGCTCTACGGGTGAGTGCTCCAGGCAGGCGTCTACACGGCCCGCTGCTGGGGGCGGCAGGTTTACGTGAGAAGCGCAGGATTAAGCTGTTGCAGAGAGCGGTGTGGGTAAGTTTAACACCTGCAACAGGACGTTTACCGGACGATTTTCCCGGCCGAATTTTAGCGGGTTTAGGCGTACTTATGCGGATCTGTGGGAGAGCGTGACAGCGCACATCTGTCGGCTGGGTGACGCCTGCCACACGGGTTTCTGAAGTTCAGTCGGCGGCGAAACCCGGCAAAGGATAACATCAAACGGGGCTCGGAAGTCAACACACCCGCAACACAACCGCGGAGGAAACCATTGATCTTTCCACGCGGCGGCTCTGTGGCCTTGCACAACACATGAACCCGTGACACGACATTGAACTTCGCACTGCGCCTCTGAGCGGCGCGCTTGGCGAGGATGTAACAGGTTGAAGGTCAGCATCCAATGCCGACCGCCGCGGCGTCGGCGGCCGACCGGCGGCGCTTCCGTCCCGAGCTTCCCAGCGCGCCGCGCGGCCGCCGCTCTGCCCTCGCGCCGGCCGGCCGGCCGACTATTGACGATCTCTCCCCGGCGAGAGCGCCGCCGAGCCGACCGCCGGCGCCCGTGGGTGCCGAATTAAATTCCGTCATCCACTTACGGCGGCGTGAGCGCGTTACCCCCGGCGACGGCTGGCGGCGGGCGGCCGGGCGCGAGCGGCCGCGGCGGACAGCAGCGGGCGCCGGCGCCGGGCCCGTGTCGACACCGCGCAGACCAGGCCGGCGGCAGCCTGCAGCTGGTCGCCGTACGGGCCGCGACAAGCTCGGGCGTCGGGCACGGTACATCCCGCACGGACTTGGTCATCGGTTTCCGGAGAGACTTGCTGGTGTTCCCAGTGACTCCTCTGATTCAAAGCAATGGTGTTCGGCTCGTGAGTAGCACCATGTACTGGCAGCTACATCCGAGCGGCCCGGCTGCGCCGCGTAGCAGGACCAGCTACATCTACCCCGCGCGGCTGAGCTTCGGGCGGCCCGACCCTCGCCTGACCCTGCACCCCTGCGCTTGGCAGGCTGGAGGAGCAGCTGTACCTGGAGCGGCTGGGTCTGCTGCGTCCGTCACTGGGCGTGGCCGGCCTGTCGGCCTACTCGCCGCTGCTCTCGGCCGCGCGCTATCCGCCGGAGCTGCTACACTCGCCGCTTTACATGTCCCAATCGCTCTACCTGCAGGAGAGGTGAGGACCGGGGCTTTGTGGCACCGGGGTGCGACGTGGCTCATGTTGTGGGGTATGGTTGCCCGCCTTTTTAGCTGTGTAAGCCAAGAACGTTAGAGAAAACTAATTTCACGACTCAGAACGTGGTGCTCCTCTCGCTGTCGCCCTCCGTAACTGGCTCGGCGGGAGTGCCTGTCATCCAGCCACACCGTTATGGTGGCCTCCCCTGACGCCGACCTGGCCCGGCAGACTGAAGCTGGAGGAAGACACACGACGCAAGTTGGAGACCGAGCGCGAGCGGTCGCGCGAACCCGGCTCGCAGACGGTGGCGCCCACTGTGCGGGAGCGCAGCCCGGTGCGGCCGGCCACCACCACCACCGCCACCACCTCCTCCTCCGGCGCCGTTCCCTCCGAGCTGAGGAACGGTCAGTACCAACACGGGTGCCCAGGGGAGCGGAGCTTTCCGAAGTTCGGGCGTGTCGTTGTCGGTCGTGGCTACTGACGGATGAAACATGTGGTGCTTGCAGAGAAAGGAAGGGAGGAGCGAGCGGAGCTTGTGCTTTCGCCGTGTTCCAAAAGAGGCGGTTTCCTTGGAAAACGTAACGTTGGCTTTTCGCGACGGATTGTCCGTCATGGAGAGGCATGTCTGAGTAGCGTTAACAAGCGCGACGCCTTCCATTTGGCGTTTTCTGTGTATTATGCAACGCTGTGACGACGTGCACATGGCGGCCGCGGCGCGCCGGTCCCGCGCTATCGTTTGTTTACGCTGCGCCGGCCGCCGGCTCGCCGCCACGGCCTCTGTTGTCTCTGGCGCCGCTGTGCGTGCGGCGGCTGACCGATCCCGCCCCGCAGGCACGTCCCGCGGCCGCTCCTCGCCCGCCGAGCGGCGCTCCGCCAGCTCCGGCGAGCAGCAGACCTCGCCGGCCGCGTACCGGCCGTACCTGTCATCACCGGTGCAACGGACGGCCGCGCGCGAGCCGCCGCTCGACCTGCGCACCGGCGGCGACGCCGGCGCGCGCAGCAACGGCGCGCGCCACGGCGCGGCGCTCGGCAAGCCGCGCTCGCACAAGAAGACGACCGTAGTGCGGCCGTTCGAGGACACGGCCCCCGCCCGGCACGCCGACCCGCCGGCGGACGCGCCGCTCAACCTAAGCGAGCGCGGCGGCCGCGCCGAGCCGGCCGAGGCGAACGCGGCGGCGGCTGCGGCTGCGGCCGCCGCTGCCGCAGCTGCGGCTGCGGCCGCCGCGGCCGCCGCCGTCACCGCCGTCAGCGCCACCGAGCCGCTGACGAGCACGCTGGACCGCCGCGAGCAGCTGCACAGACAGGGCATTCACCCGGACGAAGCGGAGCCGATCGTGCGCCACCTGGACCTGCTGACCGGGCCGCCGTGCAAGACGGTCACGTCGCCGGAGAAGCTGCAATTCCTGGCGCACGTTGGTCTCACCACGCACAGCTACAGGAACGGTGAGTGCCGGCAGTCGGTGGCGCCGCTTTGGTGCTGGGTGGTCCAGTGAGAAGTACCGCGCGAGCTCAGCTTGTCAATTAAATAGTGAATTCGTCTGGAAGCGGTACCAGAGCCCGTAAGGCACTAGTAGCCATGTCAGACTTCAGCTGTATGCCGCTAGTGCTCATCCCTTATCTTTCTCTCTCGCTGCTAATTTTTCGTATGTGTATCAGTGTTTCATTACATGCAAAGCTTGCAAAGCCTCGCCAGCACGATGTCGGATGCAGTGGGTGGCGTGGCCCGCCAGCGCGTCCGATCCGGTCCGTCCTGTTGCAGAGGACGCGCCCAGCCCCGCTCATGGCCTTGCTGGCGCCGTTCCAGACGTGGAACTGAAGAAGTGTGAGCGCCGCGCCGCGCTCCACCAGCCACTCTCGGCCGCTGCCAGCCCGGAGCAGGCCCGCGCCGAGCCCGAGCCCGAGCCGGAGCCGGAGCCGCGGCCCTCCTCGCGCCTGACGGCGGCTCTGAACCAGGCGGCCGACCTGCCGGCCAAGCTGATGTTTCTGGAGCGGCTCGGATTGCGGCCGGTGATGGCCGCCGGCGCGCCCGTCACAGCCTCGGCCACCGGGGCCGGCACCGGTTCCACCGGCAGCGGCAGCGGCTCCTCGGCTAGCGGCGGCTCCACCTCGTCCGGCGGCGGCTCGTCCGGCTCCGGCGGCTCGTCCAACTCGCAACGCAAGTCAGGTGAGCTAGGTCTGGGCGGAGAGGAAAACGGCGAGGAGGCAGACTGGACGAGTAATGTTCCGGCCTGCTGATGCCCATGTTCGATGTCATTTTTCGTGTGATGTAACCTATGTTATTTATGTCCCTTTGGAACATCCGCAATCTGAAGAACGCCAGCCGTTTCAGTTCACTATGCATCGTCTTTGCCATGTTACGCCTGCTAAAATCCGAAGTCCTTTCTCTCCGACCTGGCAGTCTCCTCTGCGCGCAGCTTTGTGACCCCCCACCGCTGACCCCCCCCCCCCCCCCCCCCCCCGGCAGAATCGCAGTCCCAGCGCGACGGTGGCTCCTCGGACGACAAGGGCCGCCGCCACCGCTGACCTTCCCCCCCCCCCCCCGGCAGAGTCGCAATCCCAGCGCGACGGTGGCTCCTCGGACGACAAGGGCCGCCGCCATCGCTCGTCTCCGTCGTCACGGCCGAGCCGGGCGTCACGACCGAGCCCGCAGGCGCGCCAGGCGAGCCCGCCGGAGCCGGCCGAGCCGCCGCCCCGTCTGGCCGTCCCGGGCGCCGCCTGGCCAGGCATGCAGGCCGTCACCCAGATGTACACCGTGTATAATAAAGGTGAGGCAGCGGCAGGGAGCGGCGCGGCCGCGGTGATGACGGAGGTAAGGCTCAGCTAGCTTTAGAAGCGGAGACAGACGGCGGATGCAGTGTCACCAAACGCGTTCGAGCGACGTTCCACACTTTTTTAGGCGGGAAGCATAGGCGTGCACTTGGGACGTTGGGGTAGGGGTGATGGTGTCAGTGCGAGTTCCCCGGCTCAGAGCAAGTGAACGGATCGTTCGGAGCATTTGGCTCCCGCTTGGAAAACCTCCACCCTCAACACCGTCTAATGTGACGTCTGTGGTTCGACAGAGCGGGCGGCGGCCGCCGACCAGGCGCGTCGCACACAAGAGCGGCTGCGCGCGCAGCAGGCCCGCCTGGAGGAGACGTCACGCGGCCTGGCGCTGCGCCTCAACCGCCAGGTGGCCTACCGCAGCTTGCAGTGGCGCCAGCGCGAGGCCATCCAGGAGCAGCTGGACCGGCTCGGCGCGCTCGTCCGGGCGCTGCCGACGCGCGCGCGTCGGAAACACTAGCGCCCTCTTCGTGTACTGGCCGGGAATACTACCGCCACCTATTTGTGTCCGTTGTGAACACTTGCGTTGCCTGCCGCTGCGACGCTCGATCGTGGCGCCGCCTATATATGTGTTGCGCGGGACCAGCGCCACCTATCCGCACATCAAACAGTCACCCTGTGAAATCAAATCTCAAGTGCTTGATAGTGGAAGAGTATTTTGTCTTCCTGCAAGATGCTAGTCATGTCCACCCTCCTCGTGTTTAACTCCGCCAGCGGGGCGCCTCCGGGTGAGGGCCCGCCCTCCGTTACCCGCCACCTCCCGCCTGCGGCCTCTCACGGCCGGGGGCGACGTGTTCTGTGCATGAGCCGCTTCAAGGCATTATTCGGCAACATTCCACTGGGGTGTTAACACTATAATACAAATAACATATACTCGTTACCGGCATTTTATTGGGACCGCCACGAATCGGTGATGAAAAGGCAGGCGTCAGAACGTCATGCACGAACTGCCCCGGAAGCTACCCGAGCGTCCGTGGCTGCTCAGGCGGTGCCGCACGTGGTGCAACGTAGGCCTTACTCCGGAAAACGTTAATTCCGTAAAATTTCTTCTGACCTCCAAGGCCACATGACGGATTGGAACGGATGCACAGATCGCTTATCGCCAGGTGCATTGAACGCGTGCGAATGTTTTGCATGTAGCGTCGTATGTGCATTGCCAGGCCGGATAAACATCTATTCTCCTTCCGTCTCAGTTCATTCATTGCTGGGTACAGCGCAATCCTAGACAACACAGAAAGCGAGCGGCCCTTTTTCCCACAATCTTCCAATGGCCTTCGACCACTGTGTAGCAAACGTGAACTTTGCGCAGCACTAGAACGTGCATCGAGCACCTACGGGCTCTATCTTGCGTCCCTGAAGTCCCAGCTGACAGCCTCGTTTACCGAGTCCAGTGCCGACACATTCCATGTTATCTTCTTTTCAAAGCGGCTTCTCAGCCGTCCTCTCCACCCTAACACGATAATACAGATGAAAATCCAAACCGCGCACAATAATTTATTTCCGATACACGTCTACATTGCATTGTTGAGATGAAAAATTTGCTCGCAGATCATCCACAACCATGAAAGGTCATGTCCGGGTACAGGAGAGCACCCGAGGTGGCTTCGAGCAGCAGCTTTCCGTCCAGACGCCCGACAAAATAGCCCAGGCCAGCAGGCCGCACACAGCGCTGCCGTCTACAATAGATGGAATGTGCGACCGCACGACGCCCAAGGCATCAATAAATAACTATAGCGATCGTGTCCCCACTGGTGATGATCCTCGGTGGAGCGGCAACGTCAGCTGCCTCCGTGCGGACCTCCATGGTGACGATCAGCCTTTCGTCGTCTACTCGTTTGGGTTTTGTATCACTATCAGAAGATATTCCTTATCTGAAAAAGGCATAATTCGTGTATGTTACGCTGTGTGCCCATTACAGATTCCCGCCGGTGATCTCACTCACACCCCGAGTTGTGTTCGACTCGAGCTGAATCATGAATTGTGGCTCACAGCGCATAAGGCCACGAGCCAGGTCTGAATCAGATCTTTAACTTCGCAAGCCGCGTGAGTCATAAGCCACATGATTCAACGTAGGGGACGAGTCTGAATTGAGCTGAATAAAAAAAAAATGGAACGGTTATGAGTCATGAGCTGAATCGGATCCCAGCATGCTGAGTCGGTCCTGAGCCGACTTTAAAAAAGCGCATAACGCGAGGGTAGTAATACCGACACCCTACACATCCTCGCTACGCCCACACTTATCAGAATGGGACACTCTGGGTTGAAAACCAAACGGAACCAAGCGCAAGCCGGACGACACGGTATTTTCACGAGTGTGCGTATATAGCAAGCTGCCGTTGCGCATGGTTGTTATCATTGCGCCCCATACAATTAGGACTGCCACCACCGCATCAAGTGATGAGACAGCGCGTTCGAAGTGGCTTTCTGCACGTCTCCAGCCTGGCCGGTCTCCGGCTGCCCTGCCTCTGGGCTGCGCACTCCGACCAAGAGCATAAGCCGCACGAGCAGCGCCACCTGACGGGCGGCTCCCTGCCCGCGTGCACGTACCGGGCGCCACCATGATCTCGTGCTTCTTGGAGCGGATGCGCAGGAAGGTGAGGTCGTTGGTGGGGTCCAGGTCGCGCACGGTCGAGCGTGCCTTGTCGTTCAGCTGGCTGATGAGGCCCGAGTACTGCACCGTCAGCGAGTTCTCCATCGTGCTTCGGATCGGGATGCCTGTAGAGAGCGCGAGTGCAGGAAGGAGATTGTGGTAAATGAGAACAGAAAACACCAGTTGCGTGAACGAAGCTTGGCAATGCCCTGGTAGACGTAGAAGCTTTGAAGGTCATTTAAATGCACGAATAATCCGCATGATGAGTTGCGATACATGGAAGCAATGCGTGGCGGAATACGTCTTATTCATGATCGAAAACAACCCATAAAGCGTCGTATCCACATCAATTTCAAAAATATTCTTTATCACGTCATGTCTAAACAACTGATGAATGTTGCACTTCACTGACTGAACCTACCCTCCGAGTTGACGATGATCGTTCCAATAACACCCTTGTGCGACTGGATGCGTTTCAGCGTCTCTTCCACTTCGGCCGCCTGAAATACGCCCAAGCAATGTCACGTGCTAGCAAGCGGACAGCTTGCTTGTATCTAGGCGAATGGCACACGAGTGCACGGAACCACTGAGTCATCGGTATGCTTACCTCACGCACGTGACAAGTGACTTATATCAAAGGCATAGAAACACCGCGTTGGGCAAACAAGTAAGCTGCAACCTAACACAAACTACGGACAGGCGGTGGTATGACAATGTCACGTTCGTTTAGGTTTGCAGCCGGTAAGGACACGTCCACCCGACCATCCGCAAGATAACTCACCATTGCAAGTTATCGAATCGTTCGGCCGGAGCAGGGCACGTTGGGTGCAACTGAAATAAAGTTTGACAAATGTTTACAACGCAGCTGAAAAAGCCGACAAAAAGTGTGTACGGCCTTTCAAAATACGTAAGGTACAATACTAAAAAGAAGCGCGCGCACCCAAGACTGTCGGCAAAATCTCATGAATTTCACATCATCTGCGATCCCTTAGTTGGCACCGTATCCCTGAAATATGACACGCAAGTATAACCGCCTTCATCTGATACGGTACGCGTTTGGAGTTTGTTTTCCCCTCAAGCGGAGCATATTAAACGTGACTTTTGGTTTAACTGTTCCCCAGCTCCGGTAAAAGCATAAATTACTTGCCACCCTCTTCATTTTCTCTGTCATTTTCATATCACCCCATCAAAGTTCCTAAAAACCGTCAGCAAATGCCACAATGGTTTTAGAAGACGCTAGTATCGCGACCCCCAATCACTATGTCACCAGCCCTGTGGCACCATCAGCTCTCCCAGCCAGCTACTGCCAACAGCAGACGGGACAACCGACGCGTTGTCAGAACGCTTTGCGTTCATGACCAATGCAGAATAAGTCACACTTAGTTTAACCTAATTATTTGCTGTTTGTGTGTTTGTTTTGTTTGTACGCTGAGCTGGCGGGATGTTACATCCACGACAATGATGAAAACTAGGCAGGAATCAAGTAAGAAACGCCGAACTAGTTTGCACTAAAAGCAAATCAAATCTTCGACACGCAAACGACAGTGTTTGAGGACTTGCAGTCGCAGACAGCGACCCGGCACCACGGGCAGAGAAGCAATGCAGAATGACCCCATCCTCACCCTCATTCAGCAGCCTTGGCTAACAAAACGGACCGTTTTCTTTCTCGAAGTATGCATACCCGCTTCACGCACTTGTACACGTACACATACACATACACGTACATGTAAACACATATTGTACACTTACATGCATATTGTACACTTACACACATACTGTGAAAGTACATATTGTGAAAGTACCATAAGCATACCGGTGCGCAAAATACGTAACAGCGTGCACCCAACGCTAAACCATCGCCGATCGGCCTGGTAATCTTATTAAGTGTCAGGTAGAGCCCCGCCCTGCCTCAGTGCCAGGGTACTGCTAGTGAATTCTCTGCTCGTATGGCAGGGTCACAATGGTTAACAAGTTTCCAGATTTAACTAATGCAAATAAATGAGACATAAAATGCTAAATCACAGATGAAACCCACCAATGGGCATGTGTTGAGTTATCAGCCTTCCTCAGCTGCATCAATTTGACCTTGCCCCACCCCATTAAAACGTCACTGGATGGTGCTCCTCCCCAGCTTTTACGGTCAATAGCACCCCTAGAAGCTGAGCAGCCCTCCAATCACAACTGACCTGCACTAAGATGGTGTGGGATCCATGTGACCAGTGAATTGTGCCCCTGAGCACTGAGCTTTTCTCATGAATGCCCCTAGAATGCCCCATGAAGCACTCCACTGCTGGAGATTGCCTAATCACTGATAGAGATAACTGAAGTTAGCAATCTGGCAATGTCACTGGGAGAGGGCATGGGCCCTGAAATACCAATTGTTCACAAAACACTACAGTTCTCTTATGATTAGCACCCAGAAGAACCACCAAGCTTACTAATCAGTAGTGTGTCCCCAGACCCAGTGGCCCAGAAATATGGCACTGGCACTGTAGAAATGCTGTTCTGCCCCATGAAAGGAATTTGACCACCCTGGAGTAGCATGGAATAATCAGACTTGGGTATCCAGAAGTCAGGGTAGCCCCATGCCCTGATTTGTGTGCCTGGGTAACCACATTCATGATCTCAGAAGCCAAGCTGGTGTTTTGGGATAAAAACTGACCCCTGGTTCCCCTACTGTTGATACCAGTTCTGAGAGACTGTTGTAGCAATGGGACAGTGTGGTCAAAAAGTGACAAGCATTGGGCAGCAGCTTTTTGTTATGTGATACAGTGAATGAAATCTGAGTGACCCTAGAAGGCAGTGGCTATTGCTCATGCACATCAGTAAGCCAGGTACAACCAGGCCCTGTTCACAGTGGGGACAAATATTGCAGATGCAATGGTAAGGAAGGTGCTTGAGTGAGGAACTAAAGGTACCAACAAAGATTAAGGCAGCAAATCCCATTTAAATTTTATTCCACACATGGAGGGCAGGGTTTTCATGGAGAGAAACCAAAGAAAAATAAATGGAGCTTGGAGAGCACATTGTTACACTCCAGTGTGCTTGCAAAACATGTGTTGCTTCTAAAATACTTCAAAACATTAACACCTGCTATCATAGTGCACCTCATGACAAACCATGCAGTAATCTTTGCTCTCCACCTTTTTTTTAGGTGGTGATGAAATATATATATTACTGTTTTGAAACGTTATGCCCAACATTGCACAACTGTAAATCAGAGTCTGGCTTTCAACCAGTTACCTCTGAGTAGCTTAAGAATAGGAGGTAAAAATGATGTATAATACAGTTGTGATTTATGGACAGCCCTTATGACCAACAACCACCAAACCTGACATACCATCAAGAAAGCACAGCACCAGGAGCATCCACCAGGAGCACATTCAGCATGTTAAATAACATAGAAAAACTAGCTCAATCATGACTCCTAGCCCCTCTCTCCATTTCAGGCAAGCAAAGCATAAGGATTCCTTTTAGGGAATATACATAACAGGTGGTCATAACTGGCCCCTACAGTAATCTAACATCCCCACAAGCAATACCGGTCAGCTTTCTTTGCACACATCCCTGCTTTACATTACCTACTTTCAGCCAGACTGAAAGTAGGTGTAACATGAGTAACATAAATGTTACTCCGGATATGTGAGCATGTTATACATGGCATAGCAGGAACATCTCAATAATGGTTTCATTACATGTAAACCACATATCCCATAAACCACATATCCAAACCCTTTGGTGCTTTTTGAGTTTGGTGCTTCATCACGACCAATTTCAACTCACAGAGCCATCTTTCAAGGAATTATAATTGTGTGAGGATTATTTCAAGCAAGGAAGTTCCAAAACATTTCTCACATGAAACAAATGTATTACGTTGTGTTGGGAATGTGTCTACACCACCATGACCTTCAGCCTCTATGGCTATCTTAATTATGACAGGTCCTGACACTCTGCAAACCCATTCAACTGATGGCACTGACCATGCTCCTTTGTGCATGATCATAATCTCCATAATCAATGGGATGTTTTATTCATATTGATTTGGTAAGGTGCATGCAAACCATGTGTCATCTGATGGCAGTGTTGTAGTTTCCTTAACATTTCGGGGGTGGGCTCCAGTCTGCCAAATTCCATCAAAAAGTGGGCAAAATCTGGGGAAAACCCAGTTTGTTCACATATTTCGGGCGCAGACTGTGTCACTCTTCACTCTTCAGCCTCCCGCCCTCCTTCCAACTCATTTTGCAGCACTCCGCCCATAGGGTGTGCCAGGTCAACAGACTCGACACACCCCCTGGGAAAAATGCAGAGGACTGCAGGCAACTTCGAAAAAAATTGAACCAAACGCGCAAAATCCAAATTCGTACGACCCAATCTCACAACAAATCGAGCACCTGTATGTGTTTTCAAAACAAGCAAAATTAACACCGACTAATAAGACGTAGACCGATATGCAAACTGGATTTGTCACAATTAGGCCACAGATGACTCAGTATTTAGTATTGGGAAAAATTTCTTCGTCGTTGTGCTCAAGTCAAACTAAATACACTTAAAGTCACTGCCAGGTTTCGTATTTGTTGTCAAACACATCATGTATCTTTGTTTGAAGCTTTAACAGATATTCATTCAGGTTTTGACCTCTCACAGCGTGAAACATACGGCTGAAAGATCTGGGCATTTTTTAGCCACAAGCCTTAAAGTACGAAGTAGTGCTTAGTTCTGGGCGAGGACAAGCTTCCGATATCAGCGCAGCGGAGGTTAACGTAGTGCATTGCTCAGTGTTGCCATGCACATTCAAAGGGCTGGGGTCTTTGGACGAAGTGGGTCGTCAAGGAGGTGAAGGCGGCGTCGTTCGTCACTTTTGTGTTGTGTGAAAAGTGAGCATTGGTAAGGCTGCCTCGCATCGTCGTATCGCCATCTCACAGAACACATGAAATGTAAATCATGGTCATGTCTTTTGAAATTGGGCCAATGTTTATGTACGACATGAATTTGGAGTGGTGCCTTCTCGAGACCTATGCAAGTGCTCGGTAGTCAGTGGCCAGGGGGCGGAGCCCCCAACCTTCTCATAACTCACTATTGACCCTATGAGTGCAGTGACTGTATTCAGCGCAATGTTAGCTGAGTCAGAGGTGCACCTGTAGATGCCTGTACTGACTTCAAAAAGAGATGTGATGGATCACACCTTTTCTTTGTATATGTTGTGATGCTGATGTAATTAAAGTTCATGATTGTAAATTTTTTAATGAAGGCTGATGCTGAGCTTTTCCATTGGTATTGTTTCATTGGTATAATTCCATTGGTTCATTGTATGTTCAGTTATCAGGGACTGGTGGGTTGCTGTTAGTGGATGACAGTTTGCACAGCATGATGACTGTTGTGCAAAAGCTCAGACACATAATTGTTTGATGCTGGTGCTTTATTGAGGGCTACTTTTCATGTTGAAATTTGAGTGATGAGGCAAATTAGATATGCATGCTAAACCTATTGGTACCTACATAATCTAAATTAGGAACTTTTGCAGTTGGGACATAATGTTTCTATTTGGCAAAAACCTCAGCAATTGCTGAGTAAACATCAGTTACTTTGCTCACAGTTTCATCCACTTGTTAAGTTAAAGAAATTGATCAAGAGACTGCATGTTATGATGTGGCAGCAGATTATTATTCATAGCCAGCTTTCTGATAGACAAACTGGTTTTCATCACAAGCATTTTTTGCAACTGCAAGCTGTTGACTTCTATGGCCATCTTTTCAGGCTGTCAAGATGATAAACTTGGAAATGCCCTATGCACCCTCACAATAGTACTGACTACACAGGTGCAGTCTGATAACTGGGTGGGTTGGAAATTTAGTTATATGATATTAGTTTACTCATATTTTCCAAATATTACACCATTTGTTGACTGATATGGTAGCCTTTTTGCCCATGTTGTGCAATTGTATACTTGTTCCAACATAAAAAGTTCAGGCCTGTTTAGTATGCTACCCAGCTAGGGTTCTGCTCCAAGTCACATTGAATATGCATCCCTTCACTCTACCTGTATTTCACTCATATTTAGCCAAGACTTGCCAATGTGTCACCCTGCCAGTTTTGACCGCAACACCTCTCTAACCTTTTCAGCAGCTACGTTTTCTAGGCTCCGCGATGCTGTTGCCTCTGACCGCCACGCTGCTGCTGGTGGCGCCACCGGCGGCTCGGGCCAGCGACATCAGCCGTGAGGTGCTCGGCTCATTCCGCAACTTTCTGCCGGCCGCGTTCGGCGACTACAACGGCGACAAGCAGACGGACCTGTTCGTGCTGGACCCGGACCGACACGGGCTCGAAATCGCGCTCATGTTCCACGCGAACACGCCGATGCTGCGGCGGCGCAACCTGCGCTGCGTCTACGGCAACCTGACCCTGCAGTCGCTGGTGCCGAGCGACTTCGACGGTGACGGTGCCATGGACCTTCTGGTGGTGGCGAAGGAGGCGACGGCGGGCGGGCCGCACGACCTGCTGGCGTTCGTGCTGTGGGGCGACACGCGCCACCTGCCGTGCGGCTACAACATCTCGATCGAGCTGCGCGGTCAGCCCCTGGCCGTTGACTACGACGGCGACATGGTGACCGACCTGTTCGGCCAAAGTCGCAACGGGTCGCGCGTCTTCTGGGTGTTCGGACGTGACCGGACCGTGAGGCGCGTGGTGCTGGACCACGCGGACGCGGCACCGCTGCGGCTGCCGCACGCCAGCGCCTTCGTCGACGTGACGGGCGACCTGGCTGCGGACCTGGTGGTGGCCACGGAGGCCGGCTTCGAGGAGTGGGAGCACGGCGACGCCGGCTGGGCGCTGCGCCGCTCGCTGCCGCTGCCGCCGGGCGTGGTCGCCGCCGGCCAGTCGGCCTTCTTCGACGTCGACTCGGACGGCCGGCTGGAGCACCTGGTGCCCGTGTGCTTCGACGCGCCCTGCGCCAACAGCTCGGTGCTGGTGGCGCGCGCCGACGGCGGCTGGGCGCGCCTCCTGCTCGAGGCTGAGGACCCCGTGCACGGCCGCTGGGGCTTCGTCGCGCCCGCCGATGACGTGTACCGCGAGGTCATCACGCCCCGCGTCGGTGACTTCAACCTGGACGGCTACCCGGACCTGCTCATGAGCCTTGAGCGCAAGGACGGCGAGGTGACGCTGCGCCGCTCCTTCCTACTCCGCAACGTGCCGTGTGCGGAGAAGCCGGCGTGCGGCTTCTCGCGCGGTTTCCGCGCCGAGTGGGACACGTTCGCCGGCTACCCGGACTCGCCGGCGGCGGCGTTCTACGACCTGAGCGACGACGGTCTGCTGGACGCGTTCGTCGTGCACCGCGTGGACGGCCAGTACACTGTGTCGGCAGTGCGCAACAGCCCCGACTACGACGCCCTCTTCCTCAAGGTGATCGTGCTCGACGGCGGCTGCTTCAACAACTGCAGCTTCGGCATCCACATCCCGTACGGCACCAACAAGCCGGGGCCGGCGATGCTTGGTCGGATGACGCTGATTGACGGCAGCATCTGGTCATTCGCCGCGGCGCAGCTCTCGCTGAGCGGCCACCATGCGCTGCAGCTGCCCTACACGGTGCTGGGGCTCGGCCGCAGCCCCAACTTCGTTGACGACCTCAAGATCGGTGTTCCGCGCGTGTCGCACGCGCCCGGCCCTCTGACACAGCAGTGGACGCAGCTGATCCCCAACTCTCAGCTGATCGTGGTGCCGCACCCCCCGGCCCAGCCATCGCGCTGGGTCAACAAGCTGTACGTGACGCCCGGCCAGACCATCATGGCGACGCTGGCGGCGCTGCTCGGCACGCTCGCCGTCACGCTGGTCATTATCGGCCTGCTCCACTGGCGCGAGCGGCGTCAGGACCGCCGCGAGCGCATGCAGGAGGCGCACCGCTTCAACTTTGATGCCATGTGAGCCGTCGGCGCCCGTGGGAACGCACTGATGCCCCGCGCGCCATCGGCGCCGGTGGGGAACTCACGCCTGTGAGCCGCTACCGCGCCGTGACACCCGCCTGATGCCGCGTGGGGTACCGCCGCGCTCTGAGAGGGGCACGGCTCCGTGTGGCGCTCGGCACGCCATGGGCGTGACGTCACGCCACGTGAGCCACCGTGCTGCTGTGGAGCATGTGCTGAGCGCAGGTCGGGCCCGCGTGGGAGGCGGTCGGGTGCCGTGTGAGCGGACGGAGCTGCGTCAGGCGCCGTGGCGTCAGCTAGCGTCCCGCTCGGAGATGTGGACACCATGGGTGTGTGCCGGTCTCGGCTGATGGAAGCGACCCCGTGTGCACCGTCTCTGCTCGCCGGGCCTGGCGTTCTCTTTGACATCGCCGGTGGTGCTGAGAGCGGCTTGAAACCAGGCGTGTGGCACCCTGTGTGCTGACCCCAGGGTCCTGACATCGGACAGGCATCCGCCTTAGTATGCGGTGTGGCTCTGTGTGATGTTGGGCGCCTATACCATATTTCCACTTCCAGTGGGGGGGGGGGGGGGGGATGGGGCATCGGATATGCTGTGCTGCTGCCGTCTGAGGACCCAGTTAACCCACACGGGAAATATATCAAGACGTCGTTTAACTGAGGCAACCGCCCCGCGCATGCTGCGTATGTGCCGAATGCTAGTGATGCGGGATTGGGGCTACTGGTTGAAATGCTAACCCCCCCCCCCCCCGTCCGCACGAAAGTGTCGTTTTGAGATAGGCTATATATCTAGTCCACTATTTATTCATGAATAAGTGAAATGCCGTGGGTGTATTATTGAACTGTAACTGGAGGGATTGGCGTACCAGTGGGCAGCGATGAATGCAGATGATGTTGTGCTCAAAAAAAGCTGGAACTGCGTGGTCCGTTGACTATATCCTACAGAACTTTGGGCTTTAATGACTTCCGTGCGTGGTCTTCAGTCCCTCGAGCTTAGTCGTCGCTCCATGAGATGAGCACCACCCAGCAATCAGACTGAGCATGTGATTTGTTAAATAAACAAGATTGAACCGCGCACGTGGTATCACTTTTACCACACGATTGTCCGCAGCGATCGGTTGTGTTACATTTATAAAGCAAAGCATGTCCGGGGGACTCGGTGAGAGGAATCTTGAAATATCCGGTTTGTGTTTATTGAGTGCAGGTGTTCATAACCTACTGCGAGGTGACTTATGACTATGAGGTGACTTATGTATGTTATGTTATCTTGATCAACTTATGCATCTTATGGGGTGCCGGTAGTGTAGTGGTTAATGCATCTGCGCGAACCAGTACGCGTCTGGGAAACCAGAGGTACGGGGTTCGATTCCCCACGGTGCCCGCCTTTCCTGCCAGGGTGAGAGGCGGCGACGCCATAGAGCCTCAGCAGCTGAGAGCGTCGTAAAGCCCCAATGACACCACATTATGCATCTTAACCCGCGACGAGTTTCGCAGCACAGTTTTTCTATACGGTTTGTCGAAGATCCAAAAGGTCCTCATCCCCCTTCGACCTTTTTTCTCCGCTTGTGGCACTGCGAGACCGTGAATGAAGTAGCAGGCGTAGAATTACGTGGCGACATATTGTTGGCTAGCTTCCTTATAGTTAATTTATGTAGTGATATTCCTTTGCAAGAGACCATTGACATTTGTATCAGAGCCATGTCTTCGACAGCCACTGAAGTGATCGGAATAACCATGAACCAGGAATAACCAGTGGGAACTAAGAACCAAAACTGATAACCCGGCAGATGCCTGACCGCTAGTAGGTAGCTATCGGTGACAGGCGCCTCAGTAGTTGTGAACTATCCCCAACGCGCAAAAACAACCACCCAAACCATGCGACCACAGGGTACTTCTAAGCGAAAGGGCACTGAGTGACCTGCCCAGACGACAAGCATATAGCAGTCTGCACAACAGAGAACGGCTACGGGAATACCCGCTGCGGTCAGCTAATGGCGGCTACTGGAGAGACCGTCAGGTTTAAACTAGTGGTCAGATCAGTATACAATGTTTCACAAAGCGTCAAGAGAGGGCGTTCAGTACCGCGCTGCGAGGGGTAGCGGTAACGCAGGAGCGGGTAGGTGGCAGTAGGTGCGAGCGCCTGAGCTATCGCTCGGTGGGGAAGCTGAGAAACGGCCGGGGTTAGTGATATTTGGAAAAGATGGATCTTATTACTATCGTGATGCACGGAAAAAGCAAACCGTAGCACCCCATCCAGTGCTGAACTAGTTCCCTCGGATATGGCAAGCAACTGTAACACATTTAACGCACTCTTAAGCTGTTTGTGTCGATAATTAACGATGTCAGGATCGTACCTATCTTGTATTTCTTTAAGATTTCAAAACAAAGCTCTTCCTTATGACTATAAGTAGGCATCTTAGGTGGGTACGCCTTTTGCCGTAACTGCCATGTCTTGTCCGCACTGCACAATCAAATCATTTGGCTTGAACTGTTCATTTCAGCTATAAGGACGGGCGAAGCAAAGTAGATAGGTACATAATGTATCTTCCGTCTTCCGATTCCACCAAACTAAATATAGGTGAAATGACGAGCACAGCCGAAGGAGGGTCCGAGTTCAGGCCCTCCTCTTAGTACAACCACAACTGGCTGCAATATGTCGAACTTTTCAGGCCAGGTGCCATGTCTTTAAGGCATGGCCTAGGTTAACTTAAACGTGACTTCGTGGCCATGGAAGTCGGGTCACATGGAGCAATCAGCTCAATTGAAGCTATGTTCAGCATCTGGCTATCCAGTGAGTTGTAAGATGTGTCTGTGCTTCTGGGATGCTAAAAAAAACCGTTGCCTTTGCCGTGAATTTTCGACTGCTGCTGTATATTAGCATCTTTTAGTATCTGCTGTACATTACTGCCTTTTCGTCAGCTAGGGTGTACTGCATGGATGTGCCCTGTGAGATACCAAGCCAAACTTGCCTGCATGAGTAGCACGACTTTAAGTTAATAACCGCAGTAAATGCAAGCGCTATCGTGCCATGATAAGTTACACAGGCGCCGTTAAAATGTCGGGAGAGAGAGAGAGAGAGAGAGAGAGAGAGAGAGAGAGAGAGAGAGAGAGAGAGAGAGAGAGAGAGAGAGAGGAGAGAGAGAGAGAGAGAGAGAGAGAGAGAGAGAGAGAGAGAGAGAGAGAGAGAGAGCAAGAGAGAGAGAGAGAGGGGAGAGAGAGACGGTTTATTAAGAAAAGCATGACTTCGAGTATCAACCTATATAGCACACGTGCACAATATACATATGAAGTAGGATGCTACTTAGTTGATAACATATGTGTTTATAAGAGTGGTCATATGGGGAATACTTGATTTGCGTAGTCGCACACCACAGCAAAACGTTTGGAGTGTGCTTGCGCTCCTGGTATTTCTGCCGGAGATCGCCACTCGCTGCTTCGGAAGCAGATCTCTATGCATGGGAGAACGCCTGCATTTGTTTTCCTAGCCTTAGGCATAGCTTCTCTCTTTTGTCAGCGAGGGCTTCCATGCCAAGCGTTGCAAGATGTGCGAGTACTTTTCCGAATGGCTGAAGATGATTTTCAAGGCTTTCTTCTGCACTTTCTCAAGGTATTGCGCCTGCTTGGCGGTGAGTTCCGCATGAAAACCGGTGCACAATATTCTAGCAATGGCCAGATGTAAGTAACATACGCGCAAACAAGCTGTTCCTGTGATGGATGGTGCTTCTTCAGTATGTATAACATATATAGAGCTTTCGGTGCTTCGGTTGACATCTCATCCACATGTGCTTGCCATGACATGTCATTTGATATTGTTGCACCTAAAAGCCTAGTTTTGATGGCAGTTCTCAGGCTTTTTCCTTGAATCATGCTGTCCGGTAGTGCTGATGGTTTTTGGCTCTGAAAAAGTGCATGACTTGACACCTGTCAGTGTTCAGCATTATCTTGTTTGCCGTTGCCCAATCATTCATCTTGTCAGTGTGGTCTTGCAACTTGCAGTGGCGATCTACTTGGTCAATTCGACACGCCTGGTATATGGTAAGGTCGTCTACCTACTTCAGTCGGTTGTCAATATCAGCAGCGGCACCGTTAACCATAGCCAGGAAAGCAACCGGGCCAACTAAGGTGCCTTGTGGAGTGCCGCATGTTATGGTTCTCCAACGACTCATGGTTCCATCTGGCATCTTGACCCGCTGTTGTCGGCCCTGCAAGAATGAGCATAGCCACTTTGCATACCCGGAGTTAAATCCCAATGCAAGCGTGTTCTGGATAACTGTTGTGTGATCAATCAGGCCAAATCCCTTCTTAAAATCGTACATAACCATAGCAAATAATTTGTCTGCTTCGTCTAACTCCGTCAGCAGATCAGGCAACATCCTAATTAAATAATGTGATATTGAGGCACCTTTCATATTTCCGTATTGGCGCTTAGCTATGCTTGGTTTTATATCCACCAGAATTTGCGGAACAATAATTTTCCCCAAAACCTTGCTAAAAGTTGGTGTGAGGCTTAGCGGTCGCAGATCTCCTGGCAACTTGGGCGATGTTTTCTTTGGCACAGGGGTGATTGTTGCTCTCCTCCACACCGATGGCACGCACCCTTCATGCAATGACCGATTGAAAATATGAGGAGGTGGTACGGCCAGTTCCACAGAAAATTCCTTTAGTAGCCGCATTGGAAGTTGTCGAGTGGGCACAGCCATATTTTCTCTCAACTGCGATAGCTGAAAGGCAACTTGTTACGGCTGCATCTCAACAGGAATGTTATCAGCAGGCAGATAGCAGGGAAGCTCTTCTGTGCGCAGCGGTCCATACGTTGTGCATATTTCTGCCAAAAACCGATTTACTAATTCCGCTTTTGATTTATCGTCATTGGGTCCCGCAAGATCAAGGCTCCATGGTTTTGGTTTCCGGTTGGTTAAGCTGGCTACTTGTCTGTACCAACACTCTCTTCGGTCAGAAGCAATTCTTTGGATTCGTTTCCTCTACCATGCCGTTTTTGCAGCTGTAATTTCTAGGCCTACTTTGGCTCTAAGTTTTTGTAGTCTGTCCATTTGATGACGACTGTACGCCCTATTGCGTTTGCCTATCAGTTCTTTGAGGCGCTTTGTTATCCACAGCGGCTCACTTGTCTTGCATTTGTATTTAATTTCAGGGAAGTGCTCCTCATAAGCATTTTTAAGTAGCAGTTCTAGTCGAGCAGCAGCTTGGTCTATATCATTTATTGCTATTATATCTTGCCAATGCTGGCAGCAAATCCATCTGCCAAAACTTCTGATGGATGAGTCCTTCAAAGGCCGTACAAAGCAATAGCCTTGAGATTATTCTACTTGTTTTGCAGCCAACCATACGATAGTTTTGTGGTCTGTCGTGCCAATGGGTAATAGGTTGAGTGGTGCGCTTGGAGAATCAAAATCAGTCAATATCTTGTCCAGTACGGCTGAACCTCTTGTGAGTTCCGCAACCATATGCAATGGATCCAGTTGACGCGCTTACAATTCTGCATCAAAAGTTCTGTTAAGGTCTCCTACCAAGGCAGTTCTTGCTCTGGGCCTTGAGGATCGAAGATGATCAAGTGTTTCCAGAAGGTGGTAAGATAACATTTTCCGGCGACAGGCTGATGCATCAGGAGGGAGGTAAACTCCAGCTATAATGATCCTGTCGGGTTGCAAAGGTGAATGATGTTCCAGCGAACTTCCAGCTCGTCCGGAACTTCAATTTTAGGCTCCGTGTATGGTAAGTTATTTTTCATGCATATGGCGACTCCTCCACACTTACTTTTGTTGACCGCCAATAAGTTTCTGTCACGTCGTAGCACTTCATATCCGGCTTGGAAAATTTGGTTATCATGGACCGTCTGGCCTAAATGGGTTTCTGTGATTATTTATACACCTATATTATACGTGTGCGACATTATGCCAAGTTCAACTTGCTTAGTGGTTGTGCAAAGTCCATTTACGTTGGCTGTGAGAAAACCTAGATTTCCGGAAGGCTTGGAATCAAATGATTTATTCTCATGAAACTGATCAGAACCAGAGATCAACTTATCGCCTAGTGTAGAAAAGCCAAGCA